CCAACAAGTATCTCCACAAATGCCTAAAAATAAACACAGAAATATAAGAAATAGGAATAAGGCAGACAACATGATGTCCCCAAAGGAACACAACAGCACTTCAGTACTAGAAAGTGAAGGTGAAGAGACTGAAGAAATGATGGTAGTAGAATTCAAAAAATTGATCATAGGATTACTTAGAAGTAATCAGAAGCTAATTCACATATTTACCTGTTCACTCCACAGATGCCCTCAATGGCCAGAGCTGATCAGTGCTGCAGTGAATATCTAGCAATGCAATCTAAGTCTCCCATGTGGGTGGCAGGAACCCAACTACTTGAGTCATCACTGCTGCCTCTTGGGGCAGGAACCAGAGCTGGGTATTGAAACCCATATGGGCACCTTAACCAGTGCAGTCACCTGTAGTATGTAGTACTGGCATCACATATGGGTGCCGATTCGAGTCCTGGTTGCTCCACTTCCAATCCAGCTCTCTACTATGGCCTGGGAAAGGAGTGGAAGATGGCCCAAGCTCTTGGGCCCCTACACCCACATGGGAAACCCAGAGGAAGCTCCTGGCTCCTGGCTTCAGATTGGCCCAGCTGCAGCCATTGCGGCCATGTGGAGAGTAAACCAGCAGATGGAAGATTTCTCTCTCTCTCTCTCTCTCTCTCTCATTGTTCATTATTTAATGAGCTTCTCCTCTGAAATCAGAACACCAGTTTGTGAGGGAAAACTCCATTCGTTAGAGCAAAAACAGATCGCAGGTATCCCTGGAGCTGAGGCAAAGCCTTGATTTTCGGCAATATTTGCGAATCCACAGCTTTCTGATCAACCTTGCACTGCTCTGTTACCTTGTATTTCTTCTTCTCTGTGTTGAAGATCTCACCTTCCTGGTGTCTGGGTTTCTGTAGCTTCTTCTTGAAATAAGCATCCGTGAAATGCTTTGGGATTTTCACACCACTGATGTCAATTTTCGTGAAGGTGGCAATGACAAGTTTTTGGTGTGTTCTACGAGAGGAACCTGATTCAGGCAAAGAGGTCCAGTCACAAGTAGCAAACCACTGCTCAGCTGCTTCAGGAAAACCACCCTCTTGCCCCTGTGGCGCCCCGTCTCTCTCTCTCTCTCTCTCTCTCTCTCTGCCTCTCTGTAACTCTGCCTTTCAAATAAATAAATGAATATTTTAAAAAAACAAAAAGATGGAATGAAAATCTGCTGGAAAAGATACTTGTGCTACTAAATAAAAATTACAGACCTTAAAAAAATCCCATTCACAATAGGCACAAAAAATTAAATACTGTGGAATAAATTTAACCAAGGACATCAAAGATCTCTATGATGAGAATTTCAAAACATTAAAGAAAGAAATAGAAGACACAAGAAATGTAAAAATCTTCCATATTCATGGATTAGAAGAATCAGTATCATCAAAATGTCCATACTACAAAAAGCAATTTACAGATTCAATGTGATATCATTCAAAATACCAAGGACATCTTTCTCAGATATAGGAGAAATGATGCTGAAATTCATATGGAAACACACGAGACCCTGAATAGCTAAAGCCATCTTATATGACAAAAACAATGCTAGAAGCATCACAATTCCAGATTTCAAGACATACTGTGGGGCAGTCTTAATCAAAACAGCCTGGTACTGGTACAAAAACAGGTGGACAGACCAATGGAACAGAACAGAAACTCCAGAAATCATCACGTGTATCTACAGATGACTTATCTTTGACGAAGGAGCTAAAATCAATCCCTGGAGCAAGGACAGTCTCTTCAACAAATGGTGCTGGAAAACCTGATCTCCACATGCAGAAGTATGAAGCAAGACCCATACCTTAACATCTTATAGAAAAATCCACGGAAAATGGGTCAAAGACTAAATCTATGACCCAATACTATCAAATTATTAGAGAACATTAGTGAAACCCTGTAAGACATTGGCATAGGGAAGAACTTCTTGGAAAAGACCCCAGAGGCACAGGCAATCAAAGCCAAAAGTTGACAAACGGGATTATGTCAAATTGAGAAGCTTCTACACTGCAAAAGAAACAGAGGCAACAGACAGAATGGGCAAAATTATTTGCAAACTCTGCAATTGATAAATGATTAATATCCAGAACCTATAATGAGCTCGATAAACTCAACAACAACAAACAACCCTGTTAAGAACTGGGAAAAGGACTTAAACAGACATTTTTGAGAAAAGGAAATCCAAATGGCCAACAAACACATGAAAAAAATGCTCAGGATCACTAGCCATTAGGGAAATGCAAATTAAAACCACACTGAGGTTTTACCTCACCCCTGTTAGACTGCCTTTCATATAGAAATCAACAAAAAACAAATGCTTCCACCTGCGGCGCCGGCACACCAGGTTCTAGACCCAGTCGGGGCGCCGGATTCTGTTCCGGTTGCCCCTCTTCCAGACCAGCTCTCTGCTGTGGCCCAGGAGCGCAGTGGAGGATGGCCCAAGTCCTTGGGCCCTGCACCCCATGGGAGATCAGGAGAAACACCTGGCTCCTGCCTTCGGATCAGCGTGGTGCACCGGCCGCAGCACGCCGACTGCAGCGGCCATTGGAGGTGAACCAATGGCAAAGGAAGACCTTTCTCTCTGTCTCTCTCTCTCACTATCCACTCTGCCTGTCCAAAAAAAACACCAACAAATGCTGACAAAGATGTGTGGAAAAGATACCCTAATCCACTGTTGGTGGGAATGTAAACTGGTACAGCCACTGTGGAAGACAGTATGGAGATACCTCAGAAATCTGAATATAGAGCTACCATAAGATCCAGCTATCCCACGCCTGGGAATTTACCCAAGGGAAATGAAATCAGCATATGAAAGAGTTATGTGCACCCTCATATTTATTGCAGCTCAATTTAAAATAGCTAAGATATGAAATCAACTCAAATGTCCATCAACTCAAGACTGGATAAAGAAATTATGGGATATGTACACCATGGAATACCATAAAGCAGTATTCCACAAATCCTATTGTTTGTAACAAAATGGACACAACTTGAAAACATTATACTTAGTGAAATAAGCTAGTCCCAAAAGGACAAATACCATATGTTCTCCCTGATCTCTGATAACTAATAGAGTACCTAAAGAATAATCTATGCAAGTGAAATTGACACTTTGAGATGCAATGACTTTGAACAGTCCTTGTCTTGACTGTTGAGGAACAGGTTTTTTTTTAATACTATTGTTGAACACTTTACTTAATTTAGAATTAATTTTATGTGTATAAAGTTAATTGAAAATAGATCTTAGTAAAAATAAGAGTGGGAATAGGAGAGGGAGGAGGGAGAAGGGTGAGAATGCCCATGGGAAGAATAACTGTGTTCCTAAAGTTGTATTTATGAAATGGATGAAGTTTGTATACCTAAAATAAAAGGTTTCTGGGGGAAAAACAAGCTGAATATCAATAGAGAAGTAAAAAGTGAACATGTCTATATATATTTTAGGGCTATGTAGGTATTAACGTTATGTACATATATGTATTGGGGTAAATAATTGAATGCTAACTTCAGGAATGGGCATTTGGCTTAGCAGTTGAGACTCTGGTTAAGGTGCCCATATGGGTTTCAATACCCAGCTCTGGTTCCTGCCCTGAGAGGCAGCAGTGATGACTCAAGTAGTTGGGTTCCTGCCACCCACATGGGAGACTTAGATTGCATTGCTAGATATTCACTGCAGCACTGATCAGCTCTGGCCATTGAGGGCATCTGTGGAGTAGACAGGTAAGAATATTCTCTTTCTCAAAAAAAAAAAAATAATAATAATAGGGGCAGGCAGTTAGCACGGGGGTTAAGATGCCACTTGGGATACCCATATCCCATGCAGTATCTGGGGTCAAGTCCCAACTCCACTTCAGATTCCAGCTTCCTGCTAATGCACAGCCTGGGTGGCAACAGGTGATAAAAATACTTGGGTCTCTGCCACCATGTGGGAGACGCAGATTGAGTTCTGGGATCCTGACTTCAGCTGGACCTATCCCTAGCTGTTGTGGGGTGGGCATTTGGGGAGTGAATGGAAGATCTCTGTCTGTCTCTCTCTGCCTTTTTTTTTTTTTAAGAGTTATTTATTTATTTGAAGGCAGAATTACAAAGAGGCAGAAGCATAGAGAGAGAGAGGTCTTCCATCCCCAGATGGCCGCAACGGCTGGAGTGAGACCAATCCGAAGCCAGGAGTCTGGAACTTTTTCAGGTCCCCCACATAAGTGCCTCAACCTAAGAACCTGAGCCATCTTCCACTGCTTTCTCAGACCAGTGCAGAGAGCTGGTTTGGAAGTGGAGCAGCCAAGACTCGAATGGGCACCCATATGAAATGCTGGCACTGCAAGTGGTGGCTTTACCTGTTACACCACAGCACCAGCCCCCTCCCTTTGCTTTCAAATAAAAATGAAAATAAATTTTAAAACTAAATTGAACAATAGAGGCCAGCATTGTGGCACAGCAGGCTAATCTACCACTTGCAAAACTGGCATTCCATATCAGAGTGCTGGTTTCAGTTCTGGCTGTTCCACTTCTGATCCAGTTCCTGGTAATATGGCTGGGAAGACAGTGGATGATGGATCAAATGTTTTGGCCCCTGCCACCCATATGGGAGACCCTTTGGAGTTCTTGGCTCCAGACTTCATCCTGGCACAGACCTGACTGTTGCGACATTTGGGGAGTGAACCAACAGGTGGAAAATCTCCCTCTCTGATGCTCTGCCTGCAAATAGATAAATCCTTTTTGAAAATTTAAAAATATTAAATTAATGCTGCATCTGTTTATGCACTGAAAAAATATGTATTATATATGTCCTCCTATGTGTAATATGTTCATATGTACAGAATATGTAGCCTATCTTTGCTTGTCAGCCACTCATCAAGACTTCACTAGAAATATGAAATACTAGAGTTCCTGGTGGATAATTACTATTATCTGAAAGACTTATTTAAGACAAGAAGAATTTACTCAAGTAAAAGGCATTTTTTTTTTGTTCTTTCCTCATCTAGGCTAGTAGTAAAATCTCTGAAGGAGAAAGGCATTGTAGAGCCAGAACTATATGAGGAAGTCACAGTCTACTTCAGTGACATTGTGGGCTTCACCACTATCTGCAAATACAGCACCCCCATGGAGGTGGTGGACATGCTCAATGACATCTATAAGAGTTTTGACCACATTGTTGATCACCATGATGTATACAAGGTAACCCACTGGACATCCCAAGGTCATCAGTACCTGAATTGGTTGTTCCTGTTATTACTCTTGCCCTCTCCAATTTAATATTTAATGAGATAATAGAGAAGACAAGTAGAAGAATTAAAGGGGTCAGAAATCAAAATTACCATTTTAGAAGCAATACAAAAGAAACAACATGAAGTTCAGCAGGAATAGATTTGGGGTACCACATTTAGGGAAATGCCATACTCTCTCAAATCAACCTCAATAGAATTGGACAGTATTTATGTTGGCTGCAAATAAAACAGAGAAGACACAGCAGTTATAATAATAAAATCATTATAAGATTATATGTTGTGTCTTGCAGAGACCTACAAATTTTTTATCAAATAGAATGTAGAAAATAATAAATACTAAAGATGATTTTTCTGGATGATTTACATTATGAGTTAATTTTTGTACAGTTAAAATCCTTTATAGCTCTTTTATCATCCATTTAACTAGACTATGAAAATCCTAAAGAAATCAGCATAGAACTGGTCTTGAACTTGTCCCAGAAGTATATGTTGTTATGCTAATACTAAGTTCTCCCCAAAATTCTGTGTTTGATATGTGATTAACTGCCTCTGTCTGATTTCCATGACTTTGAGAGGGACAGAGCCACTGATGAGAAATTATTTCCACAGGTAGAAACCATAGGTGATGCCTACATGGTGGCTAGTGGTTTGCCTAAGAGAAATGGCAATCGACATGCATTAGACATTGCCAAGATGGCCTTGGAGATCCTCAGCTTCATGGGGACCTTTGAGCTGGAGCATCTTCCTGGACTCCCAGTATGGATTCGCATTGGAATTCACTCTGGTATGAAGTTGAGTGTCTTAGCAAGAGGGAATCTTATTTATGTTACCAACGTAATTAGAAGGGATGAAGTCTTCAGAGGAGATCAGTTTTCACATGAGGTTTACCCTTGGAGTCTGTGTGCTGAATGTGGGGCCCATTATACATGCTGACATATTTAGAAGCAGTCCCTGAAGAGTGCTAGTAACAACAACTTTGACTCCTTGAATGATAAACACCAACCACATCTGAAAACATCGTATATAGGTCATCGTATTTACTATTTCATTTATTTCCTTCCTGTTCCCCCCTCTCTCATTCCAACTTCTGTATATTTTTTTCCACTACCATACTATAGTACATAAGTGTACTAGATTATCTACAGGGGAAAAAAACAGCAGGTCAAATTCCTATATTTATAACTGCTCCAAAAATGGTATAGAAAGCACATGTGCCACTTCAAAGGCAATGAAAGTTACATAGAAAAACTTAACAAATTTAACAGAGTTCATTTGAACAAGAGAGACAGGCCTTGTGGCTCAGCAGGTTAAGCCACTGGTTGGGACACCTACAGCCCATATTGGAGTGCCAATTTGAGGCCTGGCATCTCCACTTCCAATCCAGCTTCCTGTAGATACCTTCTGAGAGACAGGAGATAATGGCTTAAATTCTTGGGGTCCTGCCACCCAGGTGGAAAACCTAGATGGAGTTCCAGGCTCCTGGCTTCAGCTGGCCTGGAATGGCTGTTGTGGGTATTTGAGGAGTAAACCAGCAAAATGGAAGATTCTCTCCTTCTCTCTCTCTCTCTCTCTCTCTCTCTCTCTCTCTCGGTGTGTTGTTCTGCCTTTTAATTGTTGAAAATAAACAAATATTTAAAAAACTGAGCTAAGAACAATTTCCAAATTGGGTGGACCTCAGAACCAGAAGAGGTTCAGGGGAACTTCAGTGGGCAACTCTGAGAAACCCACATTTCTAGACAGAGAATGGAAGTGAGGCAGAGAAACAGCCTGATTGGTTACAGTTCTGCATTGGCCTTGTTTGGATGTGGTCTACCCAGTTGGCAGCCTGTGATTGACTGAGACTCAGCTATTCATCACAAGAATATACTACTTAGTTAGATTTTCAGTTTGCTTACATACCAACCTAGGTTGCAGTTCATCAGGTACAGACTCAAGGTAAAAAGAAAGCCTCAGGCCAAATTTAGTTTAATTTCATATCCCTGAGCACAGAAATTTGAGACAATGAGTTACAGATATTTCACAAAGACAAAGTTGGAACAGAACTCAGAAGTCATATAGATTAATCTTATGCCAGCACAAGTAGTTTTTATAGATTCTGAGATAAATAATAATATAATCACTTTCAGAATAATCCCAGGACTCTCTGAAAACTCACTATTTCCCAAAACAATTCACTCCATTACTGAATAGTTATAATTGTTAGTTTTTCTTTGTGTTAAATCACATCTCTCTGTAATTTTTTTCCATTGCTCATTTTTCTCCCCTCCAAGCCTTACAGAAGACTTGGAGTACAGAAAACCCAAGAGATCACTGCAGGCTTTGTGGCAAGAACCAGACAACTACATTTGCAAAAGTTATCCCATCATCTACAGTTCTTAGCAACAGAGCCTAACAGTAAATATTTGTTAATCAAGTAATACATTGATGAGATTTGCAAAGTCAAAGTCAAAGAAGTTGAAAATTGCTGTTGAATCTTGGGCAGCCAGGAACATAGCTGTGGCCTTCCCCAAGCATGTCCACTGCAAAATGGCCAAGATGCTTCTGCATGCACAGGAGGGAACTTCTTGGGCATTTCCCAAGCTGCAGAAGCAGCTTACCCTCTCTTTTCTGACCCAACATAAATTTCCTGCCTGGAGGAAGAGCCCGCAGTAAGACTGAATGAACCAAGTCCGGGAAAATGGAGCTGTGGGTCTGACCCAGTCTCTTACTGGGAACCTGCTCAGTGCCTGACTGACTGCCAAGGCCTAGGCATTAGTTCATTGGGCTGGCATGAGAGTAGTTCATTGGGCTGGCACACATACCTGAAGGGATTAGGCCTAAGAAACTGAAAGCTTGCAAGGTTAAATGTGGATCATTGACAAGACATAATACCTTTAGGGGTGTTTTCATGACCAAGCCCTTCCCAAGGAAGTGAAGAGTTACTTGTCCATAGACCAACCAGACCTAACACACAGCCCGCATGGTCAGGGAGCTCAGAGAACTCTGACCAAGTAGCTGCCCCTCCTCTGCCTTTCATCCTGTAAGGGTTTTGTCCTATTTTAATTTTTTATTTTCAGTTTTTTTTGTTTGTTTGTTTCATTTTGGCCTCAAGCCTGACAGGGAATTACTTAGGACTCAGGGAAAGTCTAGTATTTTGATTGTTTGTCCAAGTTCATAAATAGAGGATTTGTAGAATAAACCTATAAAGAAACTCATATAGATCGAAACCCAATAAGCCAACTAAAAAATTAAATGTTATTTCTACTCAAAACCCAGTTTTGAGATTTCTGGGTTGGTTTTTAACATCTAAAATTCTAACTCCTTGCCTTCAGTAATCCCACACAAATAACTAATAGAATGAGTCCTCTGTCCTACCCTATATGCCACAGGCCACAGTCTTACCTCGACTTCTGTTGTGCTTGTCAGAATGTCCTGGCTCATAGGCCCCTCATCCAGCTGCATCCACATGGCCCATAAAATGCTTAGGGAAGATTATGCCAAGTCCTTGTCTTTTGGGTCTTTTAGCATCATGACACCAACCCCAGAAATACCACCCAAAATAAAAATAAAGCAAACTTGAGCCTTTGGAACTGAGTCTATGGTACCCTCCAGCAATCCATAGTTAGGGTCAAGTGGTTCAACACAGAAGCAACCAGTAGGTTCTCCTCTTCCTGACAGCCTTCTATTTAAAATATTAAGGATGGAATGGGTATTTAGTTTAGCAGTTAAAACACCTGCATTCTTTATCAGAGTACCTGGGTATGATGCCCAGCTCCAGCTCCTGACTCCAGCTTCCTGCCAATGCAGACCCTAGGAGAGGCAGTGGTGATGGCTCAAATTAGTGAGTTCCTGATGCACACACAGGAGACCTAGATTGGGTTCCCAGCTCCTGACTTCATGTCCTAGCCATTGCAGGCATCTGGGGAGTAAACCAGCAAATAGGAGAGAGCTCGCTTTCTCTCATAATTAAAACAATTTAAAAATATATAATATATTAAGACAGCTCATCTTTCTGACCTGGATTTCTGGATGCTGCCTTGTTTAGTGCAAGTGTACTTTACTTCCTAAAAATATTGCATGTAAAAATGTTTTGCCTATTGGATGATCCGTCCATTGAAAGCAAAAGTCACAACTTGAATTTCACACCCTCAGCCACTTCTCCATGACATGAAGTACTCAGCATTGTGACCCCGCCAAGAGGCTTGCCCACTGTGACCCTGCCCTGCAGTTTCCGTCCCCTGCACTTCCTGCTATCTGTCCTTCATTCCAGGTCCCTGTGCGGCTGGAGTTGTGGGCATCAAGATGCCTCGCTATTGCCTGTTTGGAGATACCGTCAACACAGCCTCCAGGATGGAATCCACTGGCCTCCGTAAGAAGGGAGAATTGTTTTCCTTAGAGGGCCAAGAGCCTGTCATCCAGCAGTGGGCAGGATATAGGATCAGGTGCATAATAAGGAGATACCATAATAAGGAGATGCCAGTGAGATGATGAATGGCCCCTCATGCTGGCTGAACATGAGCCTGTGTCAATCCAGTCCTTGCTACCTTTGTTTCATTGCTTACTGATAATTTTATTCTTAGTTTTTATTCGGTTCCTGTATTTGTAATGTTCTAGATGGAATATCCATAAAACTTAGCATAAATTCTGTAACAAAAAAAATTCAGTGTGCCAGATATTGGTTATATATCCTGACTCACATTCTTACTTCCCATATATTTTGTTTTTCTGTGAATTAATTGTAATAAGGAAAAAAAATTTAGGTATTTATTCTATGCAAAGGCATACTGCGTTTGCCTGGCAAGGTAGAAATGAAAGACAATGTGCTGTATATAGCAGAAGGGAGGATGGCATTTTAGCAGTCTACCTACAAATCTGATACCAATTTGTACTGGAAAATCATGGTGCAAAGAATAAAGTTGGCATCAAAAAGACATGGATTAAAATCCCAACTATGTTGATCCCTAAGTTGGGAAGAAAGTTAGCTGTCCTTTGTAGGCTTCTGAAAGATGAAGATATAAATTGAGGCTGAGATACCAACCTTGTGAGAGTGTTTCCAGAAAGATTGGGCATGATGTTAAGCATTTAGCAATTCTCGGGTGTGTAATAGGCCTACAAGTGCACTCTGAGAAGGGCAGACCTATGAGTGGGGATGCCCTCAACATTTGTTTGGCAGAAATATAGCAATGTTCCAGAAGAAGGAAATCTAAGAAAATCAAGACCCTATAACTGCCTTCAGAACTGTCCCACGACAATCTCCTCCCCAACTCTTCAGCTCTTTATTGTGACTTTTCCACTGGGCCTCCAGACCGAATTCCAACTTCAAGCTTGGTACAGCAAGCCACATCCAAAACTAGGTCCAAAAGACTAGTAATCTGAGCTGGTATGGGAATCTAGGCAGGGCAAAAGCTGGGAAACTCTATCATTCAGGAGCCTGGAAACCAGTACCAGACCTCACTCCTCCCAAGTGTGATATTTCTTCTCTCACTGATGCCAGTTTTAATGTTATTTCACTGAAAAAAGACATATTTCCCCTTGATGCAGGATACTTCTTTCAGGTGTTCCTGATATTCTGAATTAAGGCAAAACAAATGTGGCCATAAAGTAGACTTCCAAATGGATGCGATTTTCATCCATCTCTGTTGCATTTCCAGCCCTGAGAATTCACATGAATGGCTCCACTTTATCCATCCTGAAAAGAACTGAGTGCCAGTTCCTGTATGAAGTGAGAGGAGAAACATACTTAAAGGTAAGGAATACAAGAGACATTACACAGGGAAAACACTCAGACACACAAGGGCCAGGAGAGCTGAGGACCATGAAGATGGACAGTTCTTTTCTGTGCTGGGCACAACCCCATGATCACCCACAACCCCTACAAGTAGAAACCACTACCCATGAAGGTGGTGAGAACTTTCCTTTTTTGGGGACTGGTTTTGTGACACAGCAGGTTAAGCCATCACCTCCGACAAGGGCATTCCATATGAGCACTTGTTCGTGTCCCAGCTGCTCCACTTCCTAACCAGCTCCCTGCTAATGCACCTGGGAAAACAGCAGAAGATGTCCCATGTGTTTGGACCCCTACCACTCACGTAGGAAACACAGATGGAGTTCCAGGCTTTTGGCTTCAGACTGGCCCAGCCATGGCCATTGCAGCCATTTGGAGAGTGAAACAGCAGATGGAAGATCTCTCTCCCTCTTTTTCTCTCTCTCTGTAACTCTCTTTCAAGTAAAATAAAGTGAATCTTTAAAGAACTTTCCTTTACTTCATATAGCTTTTTTGATATTTTAAACAATGACCAATATGTTATAAACTGCTGTCACCCTTTCCTCCACATATATCTAAGATTTTTTTTTTCCAATTGCTCCTCCAAACCAGAGAGCTACAATTAGGTCTAGGACTCAAAACTCCATCTCCTCACTTCTCTTTCTACCCTTGCTACAAGAGGCTGCTACTAGTAAGACCTGTGTTTCTCAGGAGTCTTCTGAAAGTTCATGAAAAATGTGGATTACGAAAAGGCTATGCATGGATTTCAAATTTTTTTACATCAAATAAACATATTTTCATTCCATTTCCATGAACTTTGTGAAGTACTCTTGTAGTTTTAACAAGTATTCTGAGTGTGATCATGTTAGACTTTGAGAATGGTTACTCTACATTCTCCCCATTGTTCAGGGTGGACATTTTAGCTGTTAAGATGGGGGCTGATTTGCCCATTGCCACATTGCAGTGTCTCAGTTCCACACTTGCCACCAGTCCTGCCTCAAGCTTTCTGCTAATGTGCAACCTGGGAGGCATTGGTGATGGCTCAGGTAACTGAGTTTCCATCACCCACCTGGGAGACCTGGTTTGAGTTCTCAGGTTTCAGCTGTGGCCCAGGGCAAATTCCAGCCACTGCTGGCATTTGGGCAGTGAACTAGGAGGTGGGAGCTCTTTTTCTTTCTTTCTTTGTATCTGTCTATCATATCTATCTGTAGCTCTCTGCCTCTCAGAAAGATTAAAAAATCCTTTAAAATGCATATTCTAAAAAAAACTTTTTAAAAAAAATTTACAATATAAATTTATTTTTAACTCTATTCCATGATTTTTTAAAATGAGCTAGACTGGAAGAGGAGCAACGGGACAGAATCCAGCGCCCCAATCTGAACTAGAACCCAGGGTGCCGGCGCTGCAGATTATTGTAGTCCAAACACCACAGCGCTGGCCAATGAGTGATTTTTTTTTTTTTAGCCAGTCTCCGTTCAAATATAAACTTAAACAAAAACAGTTCCCAATAAGTTCCTATATATTGCATAGCCCCAAGATGAGCCCAAAGGTCATATTACAAGTGTTTTTATGCTGCAGATTTGTTTATAATTTATAGACCTAAGGTAGTGAAATGATGGCAAAAGTTTTGTCACAAAACTTTATTGCAAAATGCAGAAAGAAAATTCAGACAATGAAAACCTGTTGGATTTGTTGACATAGCAGAAATATAGATGAATCGTCTTCCCTTTTAAGTTAGAGTTCTGATGTTAATATAGTTACTATAGTGGTATTTTAAAATTTTCTTGGGAAAAAAGAAAACCTCCAAAAAAGGAAAAAAACATGTCTGGTAAATAAGAGGCTTATTTTCATTTTTTAGAACGATTTATTTATTTATTAGAGAGACAGAGAGACAGAGAGAGAAAGAGAGAGAGTCTTCCATCCACTGGTTCATTCCCCAGATGGCTGCAACGGCTGGATCTGGGCCGATCGGAAGCCAGGAGCCAGGAGCTTCTTCCAGGTCTCCCACACAGGTGCAGGGGCCCAAGGACTTGGGCCATCTTCTACTGCTTTCCCAGGCCATAGCAGAGAGCTGGATCAGAAGTGAAGCAGCCAGGACTCGAACTAGTGCCCATATGGGATGCCAGCACTGCAGGTGGTGGCTTTACACGACACGCTATGCCACAGGGCCAGCCCCTATGAGGCTTATTTTTTTTTAATCACTCCTGGAAATTTGTCCAGAGATAATCCAGATCATAACAAAAAATGTGTACTAGTGCTACAGCACTAGCAGCAGACTTTTGGCTGGTGGTTAAGATGCTTCCTTCATTGGAGTGCCTGGGTTTGATTCCTGGGTCTGGCTCCAGACTCCAGCTTCCTGCTAATACAGACCCCTAGGAGGCAGCAGGGATGGTTCAAGTGATTTGATTGCTGCTGCTGCTCACACAGGAGACCTGAATTGAGTTCCTTGCTCCTGGCTTCAGCCCCCAGTTGGTAGGCTGTCAGGCCATTTGGGAAGTAAGCCAGCACATGGAAACTCTGTCTCACAAATTACTGAAAAAAAAAAAAGAAATATGTATGCAAAAATAAAAACCAGAAAAAATGTATGTGTATGTGTGTGTGTACATATGTATAAAAGTACCTATGAAAAATGCAGAAGTGAAATATGTCTTGGAAACAAAGAGATCACTGTAGGAACAGGGGGCTAGAACAAAACTGTCTCATTGGGCTCCATGGGACCTGTCCCTTTTGTCTCACTAGGGAAGAGGAACCGAGATCACCTACTGGCTGACAGGGATGAAGGACCAGGAGTACAACCTGCCAGCCCCTCCCACTGTGTAAGCTTCTGGGTGTGGCAGGGAGAGAGAGGGGGTAGGGGTGTAGCCAATTTAAGTGGGCACATGACTGCAAATGGCAATGAAATATTGGATATGAGGTAACAGAATACATGTGAGTACAAAAAATTCCTGGAAGTAGAGTTAAAAGATGAGTTCAGTTTGGAAAAAGTAATGTTAAAATCCATGCATATGAGGGATCACAAAAAAGTTCAAGAAAAATGCACTTAAGACAGGAAGCCTATCCATGGTTTTATTCTTTTGCACCTAAATAAACTCACTTTTAATTCCGTGTTTCTGCAAACTTTTTGAAGTGCTCTCATACACATGAGCTTTAGAACCTCCCTTCTCCAGTTACTAGAAACTGGGGTCCTCTCAACTGTACCTATCGATTCTAGTGGCATGTTGCTTCCCTTTGAAACTGAAGTCCATGGCACAGTGGTTAAGCTGCCACACGTCACAGTCCTTGTATTTGAGTCTCAGCTTTGCTTACAATCCGTCTTTCTGCTAACATGCACCCTGGGAGGTAGCAGATGATGGTGCAAATACTTGGATTCCTGCCACCCATGTGGAAGAACTGGGTGGAGTTCCAGGCTTCTGACTTCAGCCTGGCACAGCCCCAGTTGGTGGTAGCATTTGGAGAATGAGCCAGTGGATGGAAGATCTCCTTCTGTCTCTCTGCCTTTCAAATAGAAAGAAAAAAAGAAAGAAAGAAAGAAAGAAAAGAAAAAAATCTGCCAACTCAAATTCCATTTGTTTCTTAAAACAAAAAAGAAAGAAAGAAATTGAAGTCTGGTTTCCTGCTTGAAATATCGTCTGCTTATTCTACTTCTTCACATAGCAGGGATGAAAGGTCTTTAAGTGCCTCAAGGGCAAGGATCACTGTGTATTCTTTGAACTGTGTGTGTTTAACACAGAAAAGGCATTCAATGAGAGATTGGTGAGCTGAACTGATGACTCTGGAGCCAAGGAATATCCCGTGTCTTTTGCTGATTCTGTTTTCTCTCCTCACCCACCTTCCAGGGAGAATCAACAACGATTGCAAGCAGAATTTTCAGACATGATTGCCAACTCTTTACAAAAAAGACAGGCTGCAGGAATACGAAGTCGAAAACCCACACGGGTAGCCAGCTACAAAAAAGGCACCCTCGAGTACTTGCAACTGAACACCACGGACAAGGAGGTCACCTATTTTTAAACCTCAGTGAGCTGTAAGGACTCACAAATAAAACACAGCAGCTCTTGGGCAGCAACCTCGTGTCCTGGAGCCTGCAGTTTCCTGAGACCTCAATGAAACAGAGAAGCACTTGGCCTTGGCAGCCCTGTCTGGAACAGACTATCTTCCATGAATCACACATGTGTTCTCAGCGACAGAACTGCCGAAGCCTTATCCTAACAGCTACTCCAGGGAGCTTCAGACTGGAAAAGAGGAGGAAGGAACGTACTGTCTAGAACTTGAGGAGAGTTTGTTCTCATTCCATGTATGTTGTTTTGTTTTGTTTACTGGCTCTTTTTCCTTCTATACTCATGATAGAATGTTTTTAGTTGTCCCAATTATATTTTAAGTACCTTGTTTCCATTAAAGTGCACTTAACTCATAATTTTTGCAGAATAATGTAATATATATTAAGCAAGAATAAAAGTTAACAGTTTACTGGGTCTGTCCATTCTGTCCATTTTCCTGGAATGTAGCAGCCATTATCAAGTGCTTTTTGAAAAACTGACCGAATTTCCCAACACTGAAGCCTGGCAAAGCTAGCATTATCCAGGTATAAGAACCTTGAAGGTCTGTCTTAGCTGCTATGCATGAGATTTTTGACCTTTAAACAGTGGCAGTACCTCTGCTTATCCACTTAGCACTGCGGGTGTCCAACACCCAGGCAAGGGTCAAATTCCTGCACTCTCTTTACTTTCTGTAAAGCAGTCAATGTCTCTAAGCTCCCAGTGTTTCTTCAGTAAATCGTGAATCCTAATATCTCCCTCAAGGTATTGTCATAAAAATATTTTTTAAAGAAACTTATCAAGAACCTAGCACAGTGTTCATCACATAGCAGACTCTCAAAACAAATCTCTGTGTTCCTCTTAACCCCTCTCTCTGCTTGCTTTATAAAGCAGAACTAAAAATTCTAAAACCCAGGCCTTTGTGTGTGCTAAACATGCAAAAGATCATTTGTGGTTTTTTTTAACAATTAATTTTAGGAGCTGTTGCAGCGAGTTAAGCTGCTGCTTGCCATGTACCATCCTATATGAACATTGGTTCGAGTCCCAGCTGTTCCACTTCCAATCCCACTCCTTGCTAATGCACCTGGGAAAGCAGCAGAAGACGTCCTGAGTGTTTGGGCTTCTGCCACCCACGAGAGAGACTCAGATGGAGTTCCAGGCTCCTAGCTTCGGCCCAGTCCAGACTCTGCCATTGCAGTCATTTGGGAAGTGAATCTGCAGATGGAAGATACCTCTCCCCCACCACCCTGTGTAACTTTGTCTTTCAAATAAATAAATAAATCATTTTTGATAATTGATTATAGAATCTTTCAAACATATATAAATTTAGATGGAATAATTAATGAAACCTCATATGTTCATAAGTTTCAAGAAATATCAACATTTTCCCAGTCATGTTTCAATTTTGTCAGTCTTTTAAAGGAAATTACAATCATCCCATTTTTTACTTCTAAATACCTCTGCATGTCTTTTATATATATAATATATAATATATATATATGAACTTTTTTATTTCTTTGGGAGTCAGACACATACACATACACAGAGTAGTAGAGAGAAAGAGACAGACATAGAGATTAAAAAAAAAAAAGCTTTCATCTACTGGCTCACTCCCCAAATGCCCACAATGGCCAGGGCCAGGCCAGGACCAAAGCCAGCAACCATGAACTCAATCCTGGTTTCCACGTGAGTGACAAGCTCAAATACTTGAGCCCTCACTGCTGCCTCCCAGGGTCTGCATCAGCAGGAAGCTACAGTCAGGAGCCAGAACCAGGTACTGAACCCGGCACTTCCATGTGGGATGCAGGTGTCCTAGTGTTCAAACGCCTGCCCACTCAAAACACCTTTATAACACAGGATGGACAAGCTCTTTCTGTGAAAGATTTTAGGCATTAAGATTTTAGGCTTTATGGGACAAAGTGCCTCTGTGGTAACTACGCATCTTGCTGTATTGCTGTAAAAGTTAATTTACAGAAACCGAGTGGCTCATGGTCTGTTCACTCCTAGTCTGACAGATAAGGAGTTTTCCCCTCAGGGGGCCACCAGCTGCAGGCTTTACTGGGAAAGGACTAGGCCCAGGAGCCGGTGCCCTGGAGGCTGCTGGGTGTTGGGCCACAGCAGCTGCCATTGCAGTGCCAAACCTCCTTCTGTGATTCTCTTGAGGCGCTCATGCTGCTGCTTCTCTGAGTCCCACAGCTGCTCCTGGGAGCCTCTCGGGTCCACATGGCAGCCCAGGGCTACTGGGTCTCAGCCTGCAGCCACGCCTTCCTCACCTCCCAGCGCTCCCTCTGCCACCACCGCCGGTCCTCAGTCATCTGTGACATCTTGGCCATGGGCTGTGCCATGAGCTGCTCCCTGTCCACACACTTATTCTCGGCCAACTGTTGCACTCACAGTGACTGCAGTATGGTCACCAGGCTCAGGTACCTTTCACTCTCCTGGGCCTCCAGCTCACTCAGCTGCTCCCAAAAAGGCCAGAGCTATCTGGAGGGTATCCTGGAGGCAGCACCATGCCTTGCCAACTGCTTGGGATCCTCAGCACAGGGTCAGCAGGAACCCTGGATCTGCCCAGTGGTGGAGGAGCCGTGGTACCTGATTGCCCCGAGCCTGGGCCCAGAGTGCCAGATAAGGAATTTTTTTTTTTTTTATTTGACAGGAGATAGAGTTATAGACAGTGAGAGAGAGAGAGAGAAAGACAGAGAGAAAGGTCTTCCTTCCGTAGGTTCACTCCCCAAATGGCCACCATGGCCAGTGCTGCGCCGATCTGAAGCCAGGAAGCCAGGTACCTCCTCCTGGTCTCCCATGCGGGTGCAGGGCCCAAGCACTTGGGCCATCCTCCACTGTCCTCCCGGGCCACAGCAGAGAGCTGGACTGGAAGAGGAGCAACTGGGACTAGAACTCGGCACCCATATGGGATGCCGGCGCCGCAGGCGGAGGATTAACCAAGTGAGCCATGGCACTGGCCCCCAAATAAGGAATTTTTTAAAGCATAACTAAATGCCAGTGCCACATTAAATGAAATCAGTAAGAAGCACTTGATATGAGCCCTATTTACAGGTTCATATTTATTAAAATTTCTTGGGCTATTTCCATTTTTTGTTTCAAATCAAGACCTGAAAATATCCATACACTGCATATGTTTGAAATTTCACTCTAGTCCCTTTTAGCCTTCAACAGTTTGCCCATATGAGGGTACTTCAAAAAGCCCATGGAAATGGTGCCAAACAACATGCCAAACTACTTGGAGGTGTTGCAATAGAACCCACAAACCTGGGTCCACTCAGCCTATGCATAGAAAGCCAGTCACTGACATCACAGTGTGGCAGAAAGTAGGTGTTTATTGCAAAGAGCAGATCAAGGAGCTCCCCCAGGAGTGAGGACTGAAGGTTCTTACAGATTGAAATTGGGGGTGAGGGGTATGTGTTCATCTCATGTCCAGGTTCCTGGTTGTTCAATGTACATGTGATCTTTGATTGGTTGGTGATGCCATGCTCTTTAGGGAATTTATGACAGCCAGGTGGGCTTTAGTTGTTCTGGGGGTTACATGTAAGTGGCAGTCACCTTCTGTCCCAGACCTGGAATTTTCCTGCCAGAACCTGGAATCTCCTTAAACAAACCCTTCTGGACAACACTGGCCAGTAAGGTTTAATCTACTGTAGAAGCAGATGACTTCTTGAGTATGATCATTAGAACCCTGTCAGGCCAGTGGTACCACGCCCTCAATTAAGTGAGTTCCTTTTTTTTTGGACTGGCAAGGACACCTTGGGCTAAGGGAATACAGATGAGAGTCTTGCCTTTATGTTATAGGGGTTCAGTTTCAGAAATGAAATTAAAAGTATGAATTTCTTTTGGTGCAAGGAATTTTTTTCATCATATGTAAAAGATAAATATTATGAAAAAAAACCTGTGGATTTCAAAATTTTTATTTATTTTATTTGAAAGGCAAAAAGAAAGATATATCTTTCATCCATTGGTTCACTCCCCAAATGCCAACAATAGCTGGGGCTGAGCCAGGTGAAAACCAGGAGCCTGGAAATCAGTCTGGGTCTCCCACATGGGTGCAACCCCCGTTCTTGAGCTATCACTGGCTGCCTCGTGGGGCTGCATTAGCAGAAAGCTGTATTGAAATAGAGCTGGGTCCTGAAACCAGGCACTCTGATGCAGGATGTGGACATCCCAAGTGGTGACTTCACCAATGTACCAAATACCTGCCCATCAGACTTTTTGTGCCAAAAATAAAGTCACACTTATAATTTTCTACAGATTTTTGGAGTACCCTCATAATACTGTTTTCCCATGACTGTTCCAAAAAGCTAGCATTTTCCTGCACTGTTCCTCACTTTTTTAAAAATTTATTTGAAAGGTAGAGTTAGAGAGGCAGACAGACCACTTGGAAACATAAAATGTCTGATTTTAAAACTATTAAAGTACAATGGCCAGTGTTGTGGCACAGCAGGTTAAGCCTGTGACACTGGCATCCCCTACTGAAGTGCTGGTTTGAGTCTCAGTTGTTCCATTTCTTTTTTTTATATTCTTAAAAGATTTATTTTGTTTATTTGAAAGACAGAGTTACAGAGAGAGGGAGAAACAGAGAGAGAAAGAAGTCTTCCAAATGGCTGCAACGGTCTATGTTGCTCTACTTCTGATGGAGCTGCCTTGCTAATATGCCTGGGAAGAGGGTCCCTGTCACTGATCATGGAGAAGAGGATGGAGTTTCAGGCTCCCAGCTACAGCCTGGCCCAGACCTGGCTGTTGCAGCCATTTAGGGAGTGAATCAGCAGATGGAAAGTCAATCTCTCACTCTGTCTCTGCCTTTCAAATAAATAAATATATACAAATCTTAAAATATTAAACAATGCAATTAAACCATCCAGACATATGTTTTGTCTATTATATACCAAAAATCCATTATCAAAAAAGTGAATCAAGGCCAGTGCCATGTTCAATAGGCTAATCCTCCGCCTAGTGGCGCTGGCACACCGGGTTCTAGTCCCAGTCGGGGCGCCGGATTCTGTCCCGGTTGCCCCTCTTCCAGTCCAGCTCTCTGCTGTGGCCCAGGAGTGCAGTGGAGGATGGCCCAAAGGAAGCACCTGGCTCCTGGCTTTGGATCAGCGCGGTGCGCCGGCCACAGCGGCCATTGGAGGGTGAACCAACGGCAAAAAGGAAGACCTTTCTCTCTCTCTCTCACTATCCACTCTGCCTGTCCAAAAAAAAAAAAAAAAAAAAAAAAAAAAAAAAAAAAAGTGAATCAAGACCACCTCTCTCTCTGTAACTCTGCCTCTCAAATAAATAAATCAATAAATAATTTAAAAAAGAGAGAAAGAGAGACACTACTTGGGACACCTACATTCCAAACCAGAGTGCCTGGGTTTGAGACCCAGCTGCACTCCCGGTTCCAGCTTGCTGCTAATGCACACCCTTAGAGACAGCAGGTGATGGGCTCATGTACTTGAGTCCCTGCAACTCTTGTGGGAGACCTGAATGGAGTTCCTGGCTCCTGGCTTCAACCTGGCCCAGAACCAGAACCAGCTGTTATAGGCATTTGGGGGAGTGAACCAAGTAAGCTCTCTCTTCTCTCTCTCTCCCTCTCTCTCTCTCCCTCTCTCTCCCTCTTTCTCCCTCTCTCTCCCTCTCTCTCCCTCTCCCTCTCTCTTTCTTTCTCATTGTAGCTGTGCAATAAATTTTAGAACAGGGTAGAATGCTTCCTCCTACTTTATTCTTACTTTGCAAATATCTCAGCTACTTCAGGTACTTTACATTTCCATATACATTTTAGAATAAACTTATCGATAGCTACAATAAAACTACTGGAGTTTTGATATCTTTTGCATTAAAACAAAATATCAATGTGGAGAAAACTAGTATCTTAACTATGTTATCTATGAACATAATATTTCTCACAATTTATATAGATCTTCTGTCACATATGTAATTTAAATGTTCTAGTAGTCACAGTTTTAAAGAAGTAAAATAAAGCAGGTAAATTATCTTAATAATGTATTTAATGAAACCAATATATTATAAGTATTACTATTTCAGCATGAAATCAATATAAAATTATCTATTAGACATTCTCCATCCTTTTTGATGGCATCAGTGGGTCTTTTTTTTTTTTTTTTAAGATTTGTTTATTTGAAAGGCAGAGTTACAGAGAGGCAGAGGCAGAGAGAGATAGAGAGGTATTCCACCCACTGGTTCACTCCCCAAATGGCCGCAATGGCCAGGGCTGCACCAGACGGAAGTCAGGAGCATCCTCCCGGTCTCCCACATGGGTGCAGGGACCCAAGGACTGGGTAGAAGATGTTCTACTGCTTTCCCAGGCCATAGCAGAGAGTGGGATCAGAAATAGAGCAGCCAGGACTTGAACCATATGGGATGCCAGCGCTACAGGTGACAGCTTTACCTATTACTCCACAGTGCCAGCCTCCTTGGTGGGTCTTTAAAAGCACACCTCAATTCCTGGTAGCCATATTAAAAATGCCTAAGAGTCTTATATCACTAATCACTATTAATTACAGCACTGTTCTAGAATGCGAAAAACTGATAGACATTCTTTTTCAGGGAAAGGAAAGGAAACAATAGATTAAGTAAGAGGATAAGAGACTCTCCAGAGACAGAACCAGATACAGATATGACATAGGTGTTGAAACTATCTGAGGGAGAGTTTTAAACAGCTGTAATTAATGTGCTAAAATCTCTGAAGGAAAAAGTGGACAACATGAAAGTAGCCTATTAATAGGTCATTAGTAGACTCCATACAGATTATGAAGAAATCAACATACTCAAAGACAATATTAAAGAAAATATCCAACTAATAAAAGAGAAAAATAAGTGGAAAAAACAAGAGCTACTAAGAACTGTAGAACAACATCAGTTTCATGTGTAGGCCACTGGAATTGCAGGAGACAAAGAGACCAAAACATGAGGAACATTTGAGGAAATAACACCTGAGAGTTTACCTAATGTAATGACAGACACTAAACTACAGATCCAAGAATCTCAGAGAACTTCAGACTCATTACTTTCAATTCACATTTTTCCAAAAGCATGATTTATCATTTTCATTCATATATATCTGTGGAAATAAATCATGTCTTGTGGTTTATAAAAGTACCGATGTTTTATGAATGGGAATTGCACAATAACCCTCTGCAACTTCTACCGAGTTCTTGGATCTCCCATTCACAAAAATCAGCCTAGAGTAGTGCTTCTCAGTCTGTGTTGAAAGGGACCTTCTTTTATTTCCCTTTCATGTGTGTCTCAGAACAATACTGCTATGGTTTGCATGGGAGTTGTCCCCCAGATGTTCCTGGTTCCCAGAACAGCTGTGTTGAAGTGATGGAACCTTCCGGTATCTGGGTCACTGGGGGCACTGCCCTTGAAAGAGATTACTGCTGGTCTTAGAGTTAGTTCTTGTGAGAGTGTTTGTTATGAAGTGAGGCCACCAACTCATGTACTTGGCCCCTTCTGTACACAGGTGTTTTGCTTCCTACTTCTCCACCACACTGTGATGTAGCCAAGGAGGCCCTCCCCAGAGACCTAACAGATGGGACCACCAAATCTTGGACTATCGGCTTCCAAACATGTGAGCTAAGTAAACCTTTTTTCACTATGAAGTACCTAGCTTGAAACCTAGCTTATAGCAATAGAAAATAGACTAAGATTCCTTTATAAACCATAAAATCACATGTCTAGATGTGATGGAAATATCCAAGTGCTGTAAAAGTCTCCACAAAGTCAGGAGAATTCAGAAAGAATACCTTGTCACAATAGAGTTGTTTCAACAAACACTGCTATAGCCATTGCTTGGTACCTGTACCACTAATGCCAGGAATGACTACAGTTGTCCTGGAAGAACCAGATGCCTCTGCTGTGTGCTTGCTGAAATTCCATCACCCCAAACATGACTGCTTCTTCATTGCTCCAAGGTTTCCAAGGTAATCTGCTTAGTGGAAACTAGATATGTCAGAATCCTAAGAGTCTGGAAAATCTTATGACAGCTTACAAGGAGCCAACAATTAAAAAGGAGACAAATATTCATCATCTGCCTCAAGTTCTACAGTAGAAACCATTGAGTTCTCAGACTTTCTCTGTTTCTCTGTTAGTTACCATCACCTGCCTCCCTGCCAGCCCTGTGCATGGCTGGAAACTTGCTCACCTGGCCATAACTAGTGGGAATAAGTAGACCTCTAACTCCTGCAGGACCAGTCTGATTTTCTAGGAAATGGGGCTCCAACTCACAAGTAAAGCAGAGTTGAGTGATAAAGTGGTGTCAGATAACATTGGAACTGAAATTTTTCCACCATGTGTGGGTAGAAGGGAAGGAAAGCAATTGACAAGCATCCTGCATTGGAGGAGCAGTTCAATTCCTGGCTTCTCTGCTTCTGATCCAGTTTCCTACTGACATGCCTGGGAACGCATCATTACTGAGTCCCCGCCACCCACCTGGGAACCTGGATAGAGTTCCTGGTTCCTGGTCAGGGTTTGACCCAGACCTGGGTGTTGTGACATTTTGGGGAGTCAACCAGAGGGTAAAAGATCTCTCTCTTGCTCTCACTCTCACTCTGCCTTTAAAATAAATAAATATATTTTTAAAAAAGAATTGCAATCATTGTTAGGAAGGCAGCATCACTAAGTTATAAAAGAATGCTCTTTCACAGGGGTTGAAAGTAAGAAGAGACAGATTGAACTGGATGGGGAAGAAACAAGGCAGGAAGGTTAATGAGCAATGAAGTTCAGAAGAACCCTATCCTAATAACTTGCCAAATAACAAGATGTCATCAGGAAGTTACCAGGGCCTACGGAGAGGAGAGGATCTCTTAGGTCATGATTCAGGCCAGCAATGTAGCGTAGTGGGTTAAGTCACAGCCTGCCATGCCACCATCCCATATGAGCGCCAATTCGGGAAAGCAGCAGATGACTCGAGTGCTTGGGCCCCTGCTACCCACATGGAAGGCTCAGATGGAGTTCCTGGCCCTTGGCTTTGGCCTGACCTAGCCCTGGCTATTGCAGCCATTTGGGAAATGAGCCAGTGGGTAGGAGATCTCTGTCTCTGTCTCTCCCTCTCTCAAGCTCCTTCTTTCCCTCCCTCCCTGTTACTTTGCCTTTCAAATAAATAAAATAAATCTTAAGAAAACAAAAACAGGCCAGCGCCGTGGCTCACTAGGCTAATCCTCCGCCTTGTGGCGCCGGCACACCGGGTTCTAGTCCCAGTCGGGGCGCCAGATTCTGTCCCGGTTGCCCCTCTTCCAGGCCAGCTCTCTGCTGTGGCCCGGGAAGGCAGTGGAGGATGGCCCAAGTGCTTGGGCCCTGCACCCCATGGGAGACCAGGATAAGTACCTGGCTCCTGCCATTGGGTCAGCTCAGTGCGCCAGCCGCAGCGCACCGGCCGTGGCGGCCATTGGAGGGTGAACCAAGGGCAAAAGGAAGACCTTTTTCTCTGTCTCTCTCTCTCACTGTCCACTCTGCCTGTTTAAAAAAAAAAAGAAAAAGAAAACAAAAACAAAAGGGAAGACATCTAAACAGCACTCTGGCCTCAGAATCAGCCCTTAAGGCATTCGGATCTGGCTGAAGAGCCCATGAGAGTATTTTAGGCATGGAAAGCCAAAACACTCTGGCAAAAAAAAAAAAAAAATGACCTAAATGAAAGATCTCTGTGAGTGAGATCCCAGTAGAAAGAAGGGGCCATCAAAGAAGGAAGTATCTTTCTCTGAAGTAAGGAGAGAATTTCCATTTTGATTATGGCCTTGTCTAAATAAGGTTGGGGCTGGCACCACAGCTCAACAGGCTAATCCTCCACCTGTGGCACTGGCACACTGGGTTCTAGTCCCGGTCAGGGCATCGGATTCTGTCCCAGTTGCCCCTCTTCCAGGCCAGCTCTCTGCTGTGGCCAGGGAGTGCAGTGGAGGATGGCCCAAGTACTTGGGCCCTGCACCCCATGGGAGACCAGGAGAAGTACCTGGCTCCTGCCATCGGATCAGCGTGGTGCGCCAGCCACAGCGTGCCGGCCGCAGGGGCCATTGGAGGGTGAACCAACGGCAAAGGAAGACCTTTCTCTCTGTCTCTCTCTCTCTCACTGTCCACTCTGCCTGTCAAAAAATAAAATAAATAAATAAATAAATCAACAACAGGAGTCACTGGGCACTTGCTCCCCATGTAGGACCTCTGTCCTTAATAAGTTGCACTATGCAAATTAACAGTAAAACTAGTATTTAAACAATACTTTACACCTTATGTGTCTGTGTGGGTGCAATCTGTTGAAATCTTTACTTAGTATATACTAAGTTGATCTTCTGTATATAAAGATAATTAAAAATGAATCTTAATGAAGAATGGGATGGGAGAGGGAATAGGAGATGGGCTGGTTTGCGGGTGGGAGGGAGGTTATAGGGGGAAAACTGCTATAATCCAAAAGCTGTACTTTCTAAATTTATATTTATTAAAGTAAAAAAATAAAAATAAAATACAAAGTAAAAAAAGGAGGGTATAATTCTAGTGTCCTGAGCACTCATTTAAGGTACAAGCTCAGAGGAATCAGGAAGCTCCACCCAGAGGCTCTGCTCCGCTGTCAGATAGTTTGGCTTCAATGCCACAATAGTACAAGGGGATTGCTGGATACCTACTGCTACTGTAAAGCAATGGGAGAGGAGCCACAGTACACACACTCTGGGGATGGACTGGAACACACTAAAGCAGGCCAAGTGAGGACAAAGGAGGACGGGACCCTTTGGGTGTGATTTAGTTTGTGGTGGATTCTGTGCCTTCTCTTAGCTAAATACACGTGACCTGTCTTTTGGACTCAGCATAGATTCCATGCCCTCCAAGAGTGTCTCCAGACCAGAGCTGTCTACTTACAGATGTGAACTACTCACTGGACACTTATCTTAGACAAACATCTGTAAAAGCTTTGTTTTCATGTGTGTGTGTGATATGCTGCAATGAGTTCATGTGTGCTATGGAAGAAGGAAGCCTCATTGTTCTAGAATATATAGGTAATATAAATATATACATAGGATACTTACAGAAAATCTATCTCATCCATAATATAAATTGATGATTTTGCCACTGATGCTGGCAATGACTTTTATGTTGTGGAATCTCTCCCATATTCCACAGTTCTGCTTTGAGATTCATCTCAGCTATCACATCCTCTTACTATGAGAGTACTTCAAAAAAAGTTCATGGAAAAACTGAATTAAAAGATACATTTATTTTGGTGCAAAAATTGTTGAAATCCAAACATGAAAGAAGTCATCAACAAATTCATGGAAAATGCATACTAAGAACAAGAAGATGTTGCAACAAAATGAATGGAACTGGAGGACATTGTGCTAAAAGAAACAAGCCAGACACATAAAGACAAATATCATATGTCCTCCCTCATATGTGGGATCCAAAATAAAAAAAAGAACAAAGCTCAGTCTGAACACAGAGTGTTGACTATCAGAGGTGGCAGAGAGGGGTAGGAAGGATAGAAGGAGTTTGGATAAAATAAAAATAAGGAAAGCTGGGTATGGCTCATTGTGGCAAATATCTTAATAGATATTATGAATAGAGGAAGCAAGGTACAGGTTTATGGGAATTCATTGTATAACCACTGTCCAATTTTTTTAAAGATTTATTTACTTATATATTTCAAAGTCAGAGTTACACAAAGATAGAAGGAAAGGCAGAGAGAGAGAGAGTTTTCCATTTACTGGTTCACTCTCCAACTGGCTGCAATGGCCCAAGCTGCGCCAATCTGAAGCCAGGAACTAAGAGTTTCCTCCAAGTCTCCCACATAGGTGCAGGGGCCCAAGGACTTGGGCCATCCTCCACTGCTTTCCCAGGGCCACAGCAAAGCTGGATTGGAAGTGGAGCAGCCAGGACCCGAACTGGCACCCACACGGGACATCAGCACTGCAGGTGGTGGCCCCACCCGATATGCCACAGCGCCGGCCCCCCAATTTTTGTTTCCTAAATCTAAAACTATTCTGAAATAAAATGTATTTCATGATAAATAAAAACTATGCACTGTGGCGTAGTGGGTAAAGCAACTGCCTGCAGTGGCAGCATCCCATGTGGGCCCCAGTTTGGATCCCAGCTGGTCCATTTCTGATCCAGCTCTCTGCTATGGCTTGGGAAAGCAGTAGAAGATGGCCAAAGTCCTTGGGCCCCTGCACCCACGTGGGAGACTCAGAAGAGGCTCCTGGCTTCTGTCTTCGGCCTGGCCCAGCTCCAGCCATTGTGGCCAACTGGCGAGTGAACCAGTGGATGGAAGACCTTTCTCTCTCTCTCTGCTTCTGCCTCTCTGTAGCTCTGCCTTTCAAATAAATAAATCTTAAAAAAAATGCATGGATTGAGAAAATTTTACCCATCCAAATAAACTTACTTTTTTTCTACTTTTCCACTGACTTCTTTTTTTTTTTTTTTTTACAGGCAGAGTGGACAGTGAGAGAGAGAGAGAGACAGAGAGAGAGGTCTTCCTTTTCCGTTAGTTCACCCCTCAAAGGCCACTGTGGCTGGTGCACTGCGGCCAGCGCACAGCACCGATCCGAAGCCAGGAGCAAGGTGCTTCTCCTGGTCTCCCTTGTGGGTGCAGGGGCCCAAGGACTTGGGCCATCTTGCTGGTCAGTGTTGTCCGGAGGGGTTTTTTTTAGAGGGATTCTAGTCCAGGCAGGGAAATTCCAGGTTTGGGGCAGAAGGTGACTGCCACTTACATGCCACCACCAATCAAAGCTCACCTGGCCATCATAAATTCCCTAAAGAGCACAGCATCACCAACCAATCAAAGGAAGGTCACATGCACGCTTGAACCACCAGGAACTTGGACATGAGATGAATAAGCACCTCTCAACCCCAATTTCAATCTATAAGAACCTTCAGCCCTAATTCCTTGGTGATCCTGACAATTAAGCAGTAGCTACCTAGCTCCTTGCTTTGCATTGCAATAAAATCTGCTTTCTGCCACCACCCCAATATCAATGATCGAACAAGTAGAACAAGGTTGGGGTTCTATAGCAATGCCTCCAACTAGTTTGCAACAGAACTATGATGCATTCATTTCTATATCTGAGATGTTAGCCTTGTGCCCAGCTAACACAAGTAGTAGGTACCTCATGTAAGTTTGCTGAAAAAAAAAAAAAAAAAAAACTGTGGTCTATTGACTTCAACTATTCTTTGGCATAAAGCAAATTGATTCTGAGTTTGTCAGGAGCTCAGATGAGCTGCCAGGTGTGATCAAAGCAACAAGCCAAACATGAAAGAGTTATGCCTTTAATTACCTATTCCTGTGGGTATAAGCCAGCATGTAAAACCAGAGCAAATGCTGACTTCCCTGGAAAGCTTTAAAAAGACTTAATATTTTTTCTTTAAATAAGTGCCTCTCTGACTAGCGTGTACCGTAGAGCTGGTAAGGAGGGGAGAGTAGAAGTCTGGCATCATTTAGGATACACTTATCAAGGGACCAGCTGAGAGCCGTGTGACTTAGCCGAGTGAGGCAGTGGTGGGGTGCCAAGTGGTTGGATCCCTGGTAGGTTTTTGTTTTGTTTTGTTTTGGTTTGTTTGTTTTTGACAGGCAGAGTGGACAGTGAGAGAGAGAGACAGAGAGAAAGGTCTTCCTTTTTGCCATTGGTTCACCCTCCAATGGCCGCCGAGGCTGGTGCACTGCAGCCGGCACACCATGCTGATCCAATGGCAGGAGCCAGGTGCTTATCCTGGTCTCCCATGGGGTGCAGGGCCCAAGTACTTGGGCCATCCTCCACTGCACTCCCTGGCCACAGCAGAGAGCTGGCCTGGAAGAGGGGCAACCGGGACAGAATCCGGCCCCCTGACCGGGACTAGAACCCAGTGTGCAGGCCCCGCAAGGCAGAGGATTAGCCTAGTGAGCCACGGCGCTGGCCCCCTGGTAGGTTTTGAAGGCAGGTATGACAGAATTGACCAACCATTCAAATGAAGAAATGTACAATATCAAGTCTGGCTCTAAGATGTTTGGTCCAAGCAATTGGATGAAAGGGGCTACCATTTCTAAAGATGTAAACCACTGAAAAGGAACAGGATTGAAGCTAGGAAGAAATCAATGGAGATTAAATAGTGGTTCTTGATAATGAAAAGGAAGACCGGAGTCAAATCATAGAAAGCCTTAAAATCCACATTAATGGATTTGACTTGTTTTGTGAGCATTACAAATCAAAGTCTGAGATTTGGAAGATAAATCTGACACAGCATGTATGGTCAAATGAAATGGACAGAAAAGCCTTTTCTCAATTTAGACAACAACTAGAGGACAGAGAAGTCCAGGCCCTGTTGCTCCCCCTCTTCGTGGAGGAACGACACAGGACCCTGCGCTGTTCTTTCGTCTGCTCGGCC